ATATAAATTAATTTTTGTATATATTTTCTATGATTATTCGCTTTTGGAATATTTACCTTATTTGTGATTTATTTTAGAATTTTAGAATCATCAATAATTTTATTTAAAAAAGTGCTGAAGACGATTCTCAATCGTTTTGGGAGAATGCCGAAAAGGAATGGCCTTTATGTCGTTTCCTGTATTGCGAGAAGCTCATGTGCGTGATTAGCCTTCTGAAACTGAAGAAACAAACGAACGCTGTTATCATCAGTTATGCAGGTTGTTCGTCTTCATAGAAACGGTTTTTAGAGAAGAGGACGAAACTGTGAAAGCACAAGATACGTACTTTGAGCAAAACACGCTAAATAAGTCAAGGGTTTATCTAAATATAAACGGGATATACCTAGTGCTGATTCAAGAAGCACAGGGACATGAGATAGACCAGATAAAGTGGACGTGGAAAATAACATCGGAGAGCGTTGACCCACTTATATTAGGAGCTATGAATCAAACGGCGGGTGAATATGCCTCACAAAATCCTACCAAGTCAATGACCGATATTGCTTGCAGCTCCAGATGGCACAACAGTGTTATGAAGACATGACGAGGCGAGAGAAGAAGCCATCGGGGCAGAAGACAAGCATAAAAAAGAAGATTAAGTGTAATTTCTACAAAACCCCAGAGCAGTATTTTACCGGTGAAACACTTGAAAATTTAAACATGAAAGATGCCAAGAAATGTATGAGGAGCATGAATCCCATACTTGCTTTCAAACGTGACTGTCATGCTCTGAGCATGCTGACAGAACGTATGAGAGTTTATGAAAGTAAAATAATAGGCTATGAGTCTCGATGTGCATTTAAAATCTAAATTTAAAATCAGATTTGAGTTGTTCAGAAGGTGGTTTTAAGGGAAACTAAGTGAGGAACAGTCTGCTAGCCACAATGTAAGGACAGAAGAATCATAGAGATCTAGGCCATGATGTGGAATTCGAAAATGAGAGATGATATCCGGCACAACGAATATCAGGAAGAATGAGTCACAGAATATGAAGTGTATGACACTTTTTCATTTGAAGGCAAATTCGATAAGATAGTTTCTTATTTTTTCAATTGAAAGACGGTGAATCTCGATGAGTCTGTACCTTCTTCACTAAAAAGTCCATCTAGGGCAGATTTGTCTAGATAAGGAGAAACAGAAACCGTTTTAAAAATAAACTACGCTCCTGATTTTCAAAAGTGTCACAAACAAAGGTATCTGCTTCAGACTAATAAACCTATATGTCGAATCTCCACAAAATGACAACGAAATGAGTTGGGTGCGTTATGCGATGTCGCCTTGATGAGAACTACTTGCAGACAACCTCAGGAACTGTTGGTCGGGTTTGAAAGACGAAACTGTAGGCACTGTTGAACCTAGCATTATGCAGAGAGCGTGATAGCCGGATATATACAACATGGTAAGGCCTTAGAAAAATACAATTCATTAGTTCACAGTCACATGCTTGGTATATTGAAAGGCCCAATGGGCCAGCATGGATCAGCAGGTTTCTGAGAAACATAATTTCTATATGGGCACTAGCACTGAAAAGCAATGGAGAAGCCATAATGAAAAAAAAAATCCATCGAGTAATTCTTTAAGGAAACAGCTGCTATTATAGTTTTATGCATGAATCCGTTGAGCCATACATGCTCAATATTAGATATCTAAAGGTGAAGGTTTCCAACAAGCAAGGAATGCATGTAACACAAACCGTTTATTATTTGTGGATGATCTTAATTGCAACCGAGGAGGATATTATTAAAGCTATGGCTGAAGAAACCCTGAGATTCTTTCAAATAATAGAGTTAGAGGTGGATCTAGCTTGGTGAGTCAGCCACTAATACTGATGCATGCGCTGATAAGGTGATATTCTTGG